AGTGTATCATGACTTGATAGACCATACTCTTCCTCAGACAGCTTTAAGAGTTCAACAAATATGTTATTGCTGAGATATGATAAAGGTACGACATTGCGCTTCTGATCTGTGGTTTAGATGACGAAATGACCTTTTTCAGCCAATGATTCATCAACACTCCCTCCAATAACTTTTGCATTAAATAAATTCTTTTCCTCCCCATGACAGTCATTTTCTGCCACTTCCTTGCTATTCTGTTGAGTTTCTTGATGATGATCATTCTGGCTGTACTCTCTGTCTTATTAATGTATGTCTTTGCTAAAGAACCCTGAAATGATGTTCTAATTTCTATTGATGGATGGAAGCAACCAATTTGTTACTTCACCTATATATATGCACATACTGGATTGAGGAACGAAAAAGTTCCTCCACTCGAAGTTTTCCCAGTGTCGAGAATTTTGATGCAAAAGTATGGTTAGTAACTTCTATTTATTAAGAGTCAATAAAATTTCGTGCATTGCAATTGATATAAACTAAAGAGTCACAAGAAGTGGCATCTATCATCAATGCTACAGCTAAATTTGTTCCTATATGTTCGTTAAAACCTATGTATTGAAATTCTTGTTGTTATTGTTGGATGGTCATGCTGGAAAAAAAAATGATTCCACTTCCTTTGGAACTGCCTGATTACGTATTATGGCTTACAGGGGATATTGGCGTTGTTTAAACTAACTTCTTCATTCATTAATTCATTATATAAGTAGGAAAAAAAAAAAAAAAAAACCTTTAATTCAATTTTTTTTTAATTATTAAATTATTTGGACTTTGGTTCAAACGGAAATAAAAGAATTTCATTGCAACAAATATTTTTCTAAATCCTTTAATTTGACAAAATGGATTAAGAGGACAATTATTGTTATAATTTCTCTTCTTATTTTCTTTAATCTTCTTGTATCTTTAGCTTCACCTTTTTTCCCCTTTGATTTATTAGTGGAGACATAACTTGTGACTATGCATATTTGAAATTTGACTGACTATAGAATTAACACAACATTAGTAAAATTGGTAGAGTTGAATGTACATTCCAATTCCACCTTAAAACTTATATATTGCCTTTGAAATAGAAAGCCTAACCAAAGATTCACTTTGTCATAACAATTTTTCGTTCGAGAACTCGATCGTTAGACCTGAAAAGTTAAAGAATCACCACTAATTTTTTTTGTTAAGATGTGATTGGTTATTAGTCCTATTTTTAGTCTATGAATTTGATATTGGATTCAAAAGTGCGATTACGTATGAGGAAGATTATAATACTCCATAACACCAGTTCGAAAACGATTCTAATTAATCTTGTATAAGTCTAAATTGGTCTCATTCTAATAGTCTTTTACTTATACTTCATTATTTTTTATTTTTTATTTTATTATTTGAATATTGATAATTTTCTAAATTATTTCCTATACTTTCGATGTAACTTGAGAAAGTTTCTCATCTCAAGAGTGTTCAAAGAAATTTCTAATTTCATTGTAAAGATTCCGTCGTCGGATTTATTTTAATGTTTTGAAAGTAAAGTAGATTATAATTTTCATATATCAACCGTTTTGGTATGATTTTAAATTTTAGTGAAAAAAACACCACTTGTGACTACCTTTTAATTTTATTACTGACAAAAATTTTAATTTACATAGGAATGTTTATTTGTTGTTTATTTTATTATTAAGATAAAAATTTTAGTTGTTAAACTCTTAAAATATTTCTAGCACTTCTGGATTATTTTGAAAAAAATATCTTGCCTAAAAAATTTTGATAAAGTCACCACTTGTTACTTTTATTCTTGTAAAATTTTATTTATTTTGACAATTTAAATATTTTATATATTATTAGTTTTTATTGAAAATATTTTCAAAAATCTTACTAATACTTTGGGCACAATTTCGAAAAAAATAGTTTTTTAAATCACCACTTATGATTTTATTATTATTGTTATTATTATATTTTTTTTGTATTTATTTAATCGTTGCTAGTTATTAGAAATGAATATTATTGTTATTATTATTTTTACAAAAAAATTTAAAATACTTTCCACACTTTTGAGATATTTTAGAAATTTTCTTAGTATGAAAAAAAATTGTCACTTATAATTTCATTTTTATTAATAATGTTTTTTATGCTTTTTTTTATGCTCAAAAAATTCTAAAATATTTTTAATACTTTTAGAATTTTTGAAAAATTCTTGTGTAAATATTTTTAATAAAATTATCATTTGTAATTTCATTTTTTAATTTTATCATATTTTATTTATTTTTTATTATTGTTTTTTTATATTTTTCTTTATTCTTGTTCATTAAAATTTTAATTTTAATTATTTAATTTTATTATTTTAAAATTATTTAAGAGAAAATTAAGAATTTGAATTTTCCTAAATTTATCCTTTAGTAATTATTTTAAATTAATTTCAAAAAAAATTTAATTTCTACCATTTATTTTATTTTTCTATCAAAAGTTTATACAAAAATAAAATAAAATAACAAATAATTAAATAATTAAATTATAAAAATATATAAAAAATTAAGAAAAAAATAAAAAATAAAAAATAATGATAAAAATACCTAAAATGCCATTGATCGACACTGGTCAAATGATAGCTCAACGGCTTGGTCAATCAGTTTAGCAATTCTCTTATGGTTGAGCAGCATAATACTAGTTTAGGTGAATCGATCAAAGTCAACAAAGGAGTGCTTTGATGCGTGGACCTCAGTTTTGGTAACAGTCAGCGTGTGGATCCTCCTAGCAAAACGACATCGTTTTGCTTTTTTTTTTTTTGCTATAAAAACCAAAATTTTTTTATTTCATTTTCTTCATTCTCCCTCTCACTCTAACTTTTCTCCCTCCCTCCCAGTATTCGGTTATTCTTGTCACCATCGCCACCAATACCAATTGCTGATGTCATCGTCGACCATCATCAGGTGTGCCAAATTATTCCAAAAAAATCCAAAAATCTTCCCCTCAACCCTGTCAATACAAGTCTGAGGTGAGAAATGACTCCAAATAAGGCAAATCAAGCTTAGAAGATTTAGTCAATTTGATTTTTTTTTTTTAACTCTGGTTTTTGTTTTTGGAGCTAGTCCTTGTTTCTAGGGGCCGTGGATTCTTCGGTGTTTGTGGTGTTTAATCTTTTCTTTTGATTTTGATAAAAAGATTTTTTTTTGGTTCAGCAGAACCTTTCTTTTTTCTTTTAATATGGTTTTTCATTTTGCAGGGTGTTTCTTAGATCGCTTTTCTTTTTTTTTTTTTTTTGAGACTCTATTTATAAAATTAAATGAAGATTAAAATTTCAAAAAATCTGTAATTTTACGGGACTTTGATTGCTAGAATTAGGCCGATTATTAAAATGATTGTCGACAATTGTTAGAGTGGCTGCAAGAAGTTGTCGATAGCTGGTAGTACGACAGCATATAAAAAACGATACTAAATAATAATAATAATAATAATAATAATATTTAAATTAATAAATATAAAAAAAATAAATATTTACAAGTGCATCTCTTTATCTATTTCTAAAAATAAAAAATAAGATAAAAATAAATAGATAATCATTTTGTTCCAAAAGATAATACATTAAGCACAAAATTTTTTCCTTTTATTTACAAAGTCAAACGAAGATTAAAATCTTAAAAAATTTAAAATTTTGTTAAACTTTCACTGTTTAGAATTAGGTAGGCTATCAAAGTGACTGTTAACGACTGTCAGGTAAATGTTTGCCGATGTCAAGCTGGTTGGGGGCAGCTAACAGTGCGCGTGGCAGTATGACGTCAAATTAGAAAAGATGCCAAAAATAAAAAACGAAAAAAAAAAATAATAATAACAATAATAATATTTAGATTAACAGATACCGAACAAAATGGATATACGTACACTTTAACATAAAATTCAAGGTTTCTTTTTTTTTTTTTATTTCTTTGTTCAATGATTGAGGTTTCTCTAAATGAAACATCTCATTAATTGCCAAAAGGCAATAATCTGAAATACAGCTACAGATTACAATAACCCTTTAATTTACAAGAATCATGGTATTATGTTCTGTTTCAGTACCCAGAAACAAGTTGCTGGCTTTAACATACATGAAGCAAAGCACTTGGTTATGAACAGTAACTGCTCCCAATATAACCAATCAAAATCTTCTCCAAATTTTTTGCTAAACCTTGTTGGATCGAAGAAACTAAATAATCCATCGCAAGGCAATGTAATAGGCTGATTGCTTAGAAAGGTTAGTTAAGGCAATTTTGGGGAATTTTGAGACAATCTTAGTAGAATCACTTTTTCCTTGTGTGATATGGTACATGTACGGAAAATATTCTTGGGGTTATTCTTTAAATTGATAAGATAAGATGCAACAATGACTGCACCTTTTTTTCCCCTTATTATAATAGAACAATACATGTAAAGAGAAACATATAGCTAACCGTAAAGAGGTGTATGAGATTTGTTTTCTTATCTACACGTGAAGGAGTCTTCCAAAACGGCAAAAGATTCAAGCCTTGTATGATATATGCAGTCAAGAACATGTGCTTTCTTATTAGTGGCATAATAAATGAAAATTGTTAATAAGTTTATAAAAATTATGTGGAAACAACACGATTTAGAACAATTGCACTTGGGGAATTTACTTAGAGATGCAAAAACTAATGCAGATTAACAATATTCAAACTCCATTGGGTATAAAGTATGCTATCCAGTCTGTAAGCTATCCATGAGCATAAAGCTAATTAATGCTGGAAATATCTTATTAAGAGACATTCAGTAAAAGTTGTATACAGATGTACTGAATCCCCTCAAATTATCCTAGGTAAAACTTGCTTTGAAAATCTGGGATGTTGAAAGAGCTTCATTTCATGAAGTTACAATTCTACATTAATGAAACATCTTTTGGTATACTCTACAGTAGTTTTTAATCATTTACAAGTTTCTTATCTTTCCTTTTTGGGGTGCAGATAGCAGAATGTGTTACATGGTTAATTTACTCAGAATCCACAAACAAGTGACTGTTGGTCTGCATGTCCTTTATGGAAAAATGAACTGTATGATGAGCAGCGATGGCCAGAAATGGAATTGAGCACTGCTTTCTCCAAATCCTTAGCTAATCCTCGTTGTACCAACAAGACTATGTAACTCATTATGACTGAACCACATGGTAATGTTATAGGCCCATCGCTTGACAGACCAAACTCCTCCTCAGACATCATGAAGAGTTCCTGGAAAATGCTGTTGCTGAGATATGCTAAGGGAATCACAAAACGCTTTATATCCATTGTATAGACAACAAAATGGCCTTTATCAGCTGCTAGTGATTTATTAGAATGACTTCGGTTAGTCCTTGGTGAGGTAATTCTTCACCAGAACTTCTTTTTTTTTTTTTGTGCCAATTTTAGTTAAAACCAATTTACTTGCATCTGTTCTGCTTTCTAGAAGTGATCAATTTACTTGGAATGAAGTGAAGCTAAAGAAAACAAATTAAAGTCGTAGACAAGGTTAAGAACTTGTGCTTTTTTTTGTGGCGTGGTAATCAATGCAAACCGTTAACCACATAGTTTGTCTTCCTCTATGAATGCTCATAGACAAAGCTATACGAGGAACCTAGGAGATTCAAAACAAGAAAGAAATTATTTGAAAATTCACTTCCTTGTTCCTTGATTTGCTCTGTCCCTATCACTTAGTTGGGAATATTATTATATGTTAGAAATTCTGTTTCTTTGAAAAAAAAAAAAAAAGGCTGGTTTCCCTGCATCTCACTTGCCATAAAATATAATCACAACGAACTGCATCTGGCTTATATGGAAAACAAATTATTAATTTATATAAAAATAAAATTAAGATTATATATGGAAAATAAATAGATATGCCACAGCAACAGGAGGTTTGGATCTCTGCCTTTGCACATGAAATATAATGGAACATTTTATTTTGTTGGTTATAGATCTTCTCCCACTCTACCAGACCAAACATAACTATCGTGTAATCTTGATTGATTGATGGTGCTAATCAGTTGAATATATTTTTTGTCTAACATCTTGGGAGCCCTCTTCATATATCATAACAGCCAGTCTTGGTAGGTCTTCTAGTTAAGGTACAAGTTAACCGGCAGAGTGTTATCGATGGTGCAAAATTATTAAACTGTCTCAAATTAATATACATGGGCCAAAATAGACCTTCTCAGTTAGGAATTCTGCTATCTAGCTCCATTTGGCTATCCAAGTGCATAACATTTATCATTAGCTGAGAAATATCATGTTAACTTCTAAAGATTATAGTCATTGATGCTAGAAACTTGCTATTTTCAGTGCATCATAAAGCAAAAGGAAGTTCTTCCTGACATGTTGTAAGAGATTCATGTTTATCAAGGAGACGGGCAATAACTGATTTTTGTTCTCAATAACGTCTATTGCGTTCTGCAAAGTTACTAGGATTTTTCAATGAAACATCTTCTGTAATACACTATGACACTTTGAATTATTTACACCTAGAAAGAGATTTTGTTTTCTCTATTATCTTTTCTTATACAATAATTTTTACAAGATTCAAAGCCTATTCACTCAGAACCCACAAACAATGACTGCTGATCGGCATGTCCTTGACTGAAACAAGTATCTGATGAGCAACGATAGGTAGTAATGGAATTGAGCACTGCTCTCTCCAATTCCCTTAGCTAATCCCTTTTTCATAAGGGAAAGAATGTAATTCATGACAACTGAATCACATGGCAATGTTATAGGCCCATCATCACTTGGCAGTCCAAACTCCTCTTCCAACATCTTGAAGAGTTCACGGAAAATGCCGTTGCTCAGAAACATCAAGGGAATAACAAAACATCTCTTATCCATTGTGTAGACAACAAAGCAGCCTTTGTCTACTGCTGGTGATTTATTAGAATGATTTGCAGCAGCCATCCTTGTAGTAGTCCTAGCTGAAGTAATTCTTTTCCTTCCAATGGCTTCTATCTTCCGCCACTTTCTTGCCATTCTGGTAAGCTTCTTTGTGGTAATCGTGGTTGCTTACTTTGTGTTGTGAATGGAAATTTTAGAGCAAGAAAACGAGATTGATTGATGTGTGATTGCTAGTAATAATGAGGAAAAGAAGTCAGTCTGCTATTTATGTAGGAAGTACCAAAACTCCTTGCTATAATGGTCTTACTTGTATTGTGAATTTCAATGTTGAAGCATGTAATTACTTCTATTGGAATCTATGTTTGCAACTTTGCATGAGATTCTTTAGCTAAAAATTTAACGTAATCACATGGTTTATTAAAATGTGTCTTTTAGTGGATCCCAAGTCTGCGGATAAAACTATGTGAACAAGAAACTTGGAAATGACTAAATCAAGGCGTGCTAGATTTGGAACTTTACCTAAATGACATCCTTGAAGAAATTAGGAACATTATTACTTTCGACTGTCAGAATCTATACAAGGTCAAACTTAAAGACCATGTGCTTTGCTGCGGTGGAATGTCGAATGTAAGATTGTAATTAGTTAGATGAAGATACAGAACAACAAAAGGACATGTGGAACCAACAGAACTAGAAAAAAAAATGCATTGAAATGTTCTCTTCTTCTACCTTGATTTGGTCAGTCCCTGACAATTAGTGATGCAGAACTAAACTGTGAAAACTAATGGAGATTAACCATATTTGAACTCCACTGGGTATAAATTCTTTTGTCCAGTTCTGTCGCCTATCCGTGAATGAACATAATAACATTCATGTGAACATAATTGCATTCACTATTCTACAATGAAAAATATTTTGGCATACGCTAAGGAGTTTTATAATCACAGCTGTTTCATTTCACTGTAGTTTAAGAATTTTAGATTGGATACACATTCTATACATTACACTATGGTAGTTTCAATCATTTACATGATTGAACTGTGACCTGTTCAGTATCCACAAATAAGTGACTGTTGGCCTGTTTGTCCTTGATGGAAAGAAGTGCAAAGGGAGTAGCGACTTGGAGAAATGGAACTAAGCAGAGCTTTCTCCAAGTGTTTATCCAAGCCTTGTTGGATGATGAAGATTATGTATTACAACAAGGCTGAATCGCAGGGCAACATTATACGATCATAACTTGATAGATCAAGTTCCTCCTCAGACAGCTTTAACTGTTCAACAAATATGTTATTGTTGAGATACGATAAGGGCACGACATGGCGCTTCTGATCTGTGGTGTATATAACAAAATGACCTTTTTCACCTACCGATGATTTATCAGCGCCACCTGCGGTATCTTTTGTGTTAGACATCACCGGGAAAGATTCTTTTCCTACCCATGGCAGCCATTTTCTGCCACTTCCTGGCCATTCTGTTAACTTTCTTGCTGCTGATCGTTCTGGCTTTACTTGCTACTTTATCAATGTCTATCTTTGCCAAAGATCACTGCAATAATGTTCTATTTGAGGATAGATTGAAGCAATCAGTTTGTTACTTCACCTCTATATATACATACACGATTGAGGTACGAAAAAGTTCATTCACTTGTAGTTTCCTACCATCGAAAATTTTGATGTAAAAGTACAGTACTAATAGTACTTACTATGTTTTAGGAGTTAACAAGAAGTGGGATCTACGTTCAATGCTACAACTAAATTTGTTTCCATATGTTGGTTAAAATATATGTATTTATTGTTATTCTTGGACGGTCATGCGAAAAATAAAATGCTTCCACTTGCATTACAAGTTAGAACAGCCTCACCACGAAGACAAAGGTTACAAAAGGAATAAGGGAGGTTTAAAACAAGAAAGAAAATCTTTGAAAACTTTTCTTCTTTGTAGCTTGATTTGTTCTGTCACTATCACTTTGTTGGGAGTCTATACAAGGTCGAAGAATATGTGCTTTGTTGCGGCGGAATATTCAATGTAAGATTGTAATTAGTTAGATGAAGATACTAAATAACAAGGGACATGTGGAACCAAAGAGAACAGAAGATGATTTCACTTCTGTTTTAGAGTCAGTTACATGTTTTCTCCCTCTTCATGTAACTAAATCACATATTCTCCTTTGATGCATTAGCTCAACAGAAGTGCAGAGTCAATTAATTAGTACTCTGTGCTGCAAAGATGAACTGTCCCAGAGGCACCAGACAGGTTTCTCTTGGCATCAGTTAAAGCATCAAGTAAACTCTTATTGCTACCAATTTCTGTTGGGAATCCGCAAAAATTTTGACCATACAAAATGTTAAACGTTAGTATTACTATTGTTGGCATATCAGGACACATCCACAACATTATTATATATGAAATCTGATATTTCTACTAGTTGCATTTTTCATTATTCTGTAGCACAGTTCATGAAACCGCATAACAAAGGAAGAGCCATCAACTTTAATTATCAAAAGTGATAATATTACATTTCACATAAATCGTTACTTCACAGAAACATTTTTAATAACCACTACAGTTGTGTCAAGCGTTTACGGTATACTTTTTCTCCTTTTCCTAGAATCATTTACAAGATTCAAGACTACATACATTACTCAGAATCCACATACAAGTGACCATTGCTCTGCATGTTCTTCATGGAAAAAGGTAGCACTATATGATGAACAGCAGTAGGTATTAAGGGAATTCAGCACAGCTTTCTCTAAATCCTTAGCTAAACCTCGTTGGATGAGCAAGACTATGTGATTCATGAACACTGAATCGCAACGATATAGGTCCATCACTTGACAATCCAAACTCCTCTTCAGACATCATCAAGAGTTCAAGAAAGATGCTGTTGCCGAGATATGACAGAGCGATTACAGAACGCCTCTTATCCATTGTGTAGATAACCAAATGGCCTTTATCAACCCCTGATGATTTCTTGGTAGCCATCATGTAACTGGTCCTTGATGAAGTAATTCTTGTCCCCCCAATGTCTGCCTTCTTCTGCCACTTTCTTGCCATTCTGATAATCTTCTTTGTACTACTTATGTTGCTTGCTTTGAGACTAGTAGATTTATGACTTGGAGCAAGAAGTGAGAAATGATAATTTTGTGCTGAGATCAGTAAGCAAAAGGAGTGATATTTATGAACAAAGAGCGAAAACAACTTCTAGTAGAAAATAAGAAAAAATAGTGTAGCAAATCATCTTTCATTTTCAATGCCTTCATCTTAACGTTACTCAAGTCTTCAAACACATAACAAAATAATCCAATGATACATACAGTCTCCATTCTCTTCATCAAAACACTGTACTAGATGGAGATCTCAACCTTCTTCTGTTTCTCCCTCATTCTTTCCGTCACATTCCTCTCCACAATCAAAGGTAGCCTTTTTTCTTCTTTGGCAGCAGGGTCAGCTTCACTCCATTCGCTGGCAGTGAGTGATCTTTCTCTGCCGTCATCAACATCGTCACTACCTCCATCTCCGGCTGATGACGGCAGAGAAGGGTGGAGAAACGGATGTGGCTCCAGCACCACAGGTGGAGGGAATTGAGAGTTTTAGAGGGATTGATCCAAGTGTCACGGGTCAAGACTCAAGCTCCGAATCCCCGCGGCTTCGGGACCCAAGCATTCACCCTTCCGACGTCTCAGATCAGCCTTCCGTCATGATTCACATCCTTATGAGGTATTGTCCGCTCTGACCCCCTGACCTCACGGTTTTGTCCTATAAAAGACACCTCACAAGGCGGAGATGGTATGAACCCTTTTATACCCCAGTGACCTTTCTATTATGTTCGATGTGAGATTCAGGACTCCCTTAGGTGACACAAGCACCAGCAGTACTCAAGAGCCAGACTGGAGAGCAGATGGTGGTGAGAGGATTGTCAGTCTCTCGTCAGTGCTTTGGACCAAACTGATGATTACATGTGGAGTGGAAACACTTTTCCTTTTCCACTATTTTGGGTATTGTCATATGAATTTCATGTTAATTTTATAGAATACAAGCCTCCGTGAATGCTGTTATTTATAATTTATTGTTGGAATGATTTTCAATGAATCTTAAAAGAAATCCTTGTTAGACAATTTCATAAACTGAATTAATAAGGTGACATGTACTCTCTTAAACTCAATTGTAGAATTTAAAAAATTTTGCGTAATTTTAGTGGAAATGGAGAATTTCTTCTTTAATTTTTTTGATAAGCAAATTCCCTAATTAAAATTCTTAATTTTATATTGCTTTCTTTAATTTCTAGTATCCAAAAGGACACAGCACAAGAATGTTTGTAGTCAATACAAAGAGGGGAAGCAGATTAAGTGGTTTATACTGCATTCATAAACTATTCAATGAAAGCCATTGCAAATAAGGTTTACTGTGATCATGCTAAAAGCTATCAAGCTGCTGCAGTTGCCAATATAAAAGTTAGGAAAACAAGGGAATCAGTTTAATGGATTTTGAAGACACAAATCTTGCCGTGCATGGTGGTTACTTCACAGCAGCTGGTTGGAACTATCCCATCAACCATATCAAAGAATCACTTAGACTCTCAAAAGATGAACGACCACGAAATCTCAACACGTTTTTTCTCTAAGATTTGTGCTCCTTCTTAGTTTTAAGGATCGGGAATTTGCAGTGGATGTGGCAATGAAAATGGTTCCTGCCATTTGAATAGCCCGTATTCCGGGGACCTTGGAGCCTTCAGGTGTTTGGTGGATGTTCCAATGTTTCTTCTTTCTTTCTGAAATTCAGGTATCTTTGTCCTGAAGGGGGTTGCAGAGAAATCAATGATTACCCTGGTTATTGCTCGTAAATCTTTTAATCCCCTTCAAATTTTTCTGCATAAAATTGTTTATCCTGAAGCTGAAGTTGCAATTTTCTGCATTTTCATTGCTGTTGATCAGATATGGAGCTGTTCCTGCTAATTTGATAATGCCAAGCAATTCTCTGCTCCCAAATAAAAAGGGATTGTTCATATTGCAAACATTGACCAATGCTACCTTAATGGAAGCTCTTCATGCAGGAAAATATGGTGCCAGTCCCCTACTTTGTCCAAGGTTTCATCCAGAATTTCATCTATTTATGTTACAAAAACTTTCGACTGCTATCCCTACGGTATAGATTTTATAGGCCTGCCAAACGTAACAGAAGAAATAACCGTCAATTTTTTTTATTTAAATATGATTGATTATTTAATCGAATTTATTTTATTTTAAAGAGATATCTTAACATTGATTTAAGTATTTTTAAATAGTAGATTCTAATTTACAAAATCATATCTAAGTCCAATAATACGATTACGTGTGAAGAAGGTTATAACACTCTCATGACACACATCGAAAGATGGTATCAGTTTGATTTCATGTTATCCAAATTTTAAAATATTTTTAAAATTTTAACAAGTAAATTTAATTATTAAAATTTGATCTTAAAATTACTCTAATCATACAATAGTGATTTAAGATAATTTTCTCACCTTAAGAATATTCATGAAGACTCATGTCCCACTTTGACATCGTCGGATTCATTAACATATTTTTTAAGAAATCATTTTTTTGAAATCAAATAATAAAATCCTCTAATCGTTTGACAGAATTTTATATCAATGCATATCTCTCAATCGTTTGATGAGATTTTTGTTGAAAATCTTTTTATGAAAATTTTAAGAAAAAAGGATCATTAAATCCTCTAATAGCTTGGTAAGATATAACAAAAATTTGAATCATTCAATCATTTAGTAAGATTGAAAATTTATTTTTTAAAAAATTTATTAAATACCCCAATCGTTTAATAGAATTTAATTCGATATTTAAGTCTTCCAATCGTTTGGTAGAATTAAAAATAATTTATTTTTATTATGAAATTCTCCAATCGTTTAGTAAAACTTAATTTAAAATTTTTAAACCCAAGAAAATCTTCTAATAATTTGATAAGAATCATAAATTTATTATAAAAATTTATTTTAAATATGCATAAAAGAATAAAAAGAAACAACTTAGTAACATAAATAGATATGTAAATAAAAAATAAAAAATAAAAATTACCTTGTCTTATTTCTTATTTCTCTATAAAATAGCCTATGACTTTGCTAGTGCTCCTAGCATGTGATTGCCTTTCTTTCTAGTTTAAACAAAAATAAAATAGAAATCTAAAATATATATACTCAAAACTCTCAAAAATTTTATTATCAAAATCTTTTGTTGAATGACTCTCTTTTGTATTTTTTCTCAACCCCTTTCCTCGAAACAAAACTCTAAAAAAAAAATCATAATTATTTAAACTCAAAACACTAAAAAAGACTATAAAATAAGGTTTTTTCTAATTTATTCTTAATTGTTTCTAATTAATCCTAATAAGAACTTTTTATAGGCTTATAATCCCAATTATAATAGAAAAAGTAGTTTTATTGATTTGAATCTTCTAATCAACTTCATCCTTAGATTTTTAATTCAAATCCACCTCAAACCAATTTTCTTTTACAATTCTTTTCAATTAAAACACTTTCAATTCAATAACCCAATTAAAATTAAATTCTCTTCAAGTTTTAGCAAAATAATTTTTTTTCTTTTTTTTTTTAAATAATAGCAATAATTCTAAATTACATACAATATCAAAAATAAATTATAAAAATTTTAATTTTAATTTTAAAATATAAATTAATTCTAAGATGTCTATAATCGGAAGAAAATTTAGGCTTTTTTTTTTTTTTTCAGTACACAACAGGAAGCTGTGGTCAAGAAGCTTATAAGGTCTTACCTTGGGATATCCGCATCAATTTCGCAAAGCATACAACAATTATATACCTCAAATAATCAAACTGCTCCATCTACTGCAAATCCAGTCTCGGGTAGACACACTTCCTCTCCAAGAAAAACAACTTTTCGATTTGTGGGAATGCATGAATTCCAGCTTACTTTATTAACTTTTGATGATATTTGTCTTTGACAGATGTGGCATCTCAATCACGTTCATGGAATCAGAATTCTCAAGTCATCAAACTCTTTTCAGTCGTAACAATGCTTTGTTACTGGCATTCACTCCCATATAAAGCAGAGTCTTTTTTTTTTTTTATTTGAGGATCTTTGAATTTAAATCTTGATTATTGAAATTAAAAATCTAATATTTTATCAACAAATTAATCTATTTTTGACAAGACGTTTCTTTTTCATTTACCGTATTAAGAGAGAAGATTGATCAACAGAAGTTTAGACTAGCAAATTGTGTTTGTAGGTATTTGAATAAAAACTGGTTGAACAGTATACTACACCAGAATTACATGCAATACTGGCGCACATAATACGTTTGGCCTAATTTTTGGAAGATCTATTTAAATATAAGTATCACATGAAAAAAATATAAATTTATCTATTTAAAGTCTGTTTTTTTTTTTTTTTTTGTAATTTTTTAACTTCACAAGTATAATTAAAAAACTGGACACATTTTTTTAATTATTTTTTATTTTTTTAATATACCTAAAGAGTATAAATCACTTTATTAGTCTGCTTGTAAAATTTAAAAACTTTTAATTTGTTGCAAGCTTTTTCAATTTACAAACTCTACCAACTTTATTATCTAAAATTTTTTAATTCACAATTCAGATTCCTTATTTAGAAAAAAATTTAAAAAAAAAAGGCAAGAGCAATTACTCCAAATTTCCTGCCTTGTATTCATTGGTCGAAGCTCAGGATAGGCACATTTTGTTGAAAAAAGGAAAAATATTAATCACCAGATTTACCAACCAAAACTTGTTGTAGTCAGAACCACCAAATTAACTCTTTAAATATCATAGTCTTGGTCTCGGTTACTCGAAATCATTACATTTTCAAATTATCACAAAAAATTTAAAGGAAAATTAAGCAAAGGTTTTGTTTGAGAGAAAAATATACTGATGAAGCCAAGGGGTAATAAAAGAATGATGCCAATGGCAATTGTTTTGGCTTTGGTAACCTTGACATTCATGGCTGCAGCACCAAAGCTAGCTCAAGGTGCTAGGGAGATTGTGATTTAATGTTCCCAGCCTGCTTGTCAGAACAAATGCAATGCTGCATATGGGAGTAGGCTGATTAGATCTGCATTTGAGAAAGACCCAACAGTTTTTGGGGGAACCATTTGTGTTTGCTATCACACTCCACTGGCTGCTGCTTCAATATCACCTTGAATTTTCTTTCTCATGATGATAACTACTTAAACATTGACAAGTTTACAAAAAATGTAATAAAATCTTTATGTTTTTGTTGTCTCCATTCGTGGACGTAGGCTTTGTGCTTTGTGCTGAATCATGTAAAACTTCTATGTTCTTAAATGATACCATCGGCGAGTAAAAAGATCACAGAAAATGAAACTTGTAAAAAAAAGTCTAATTACACATAACAAAGTCATGAATTCTGATTCATTACACATGATTACATGGAGTTTTACAATGGGTGAATGGAAAATATATTAAAATAAATATTCCATCATCATCATCATCAAGGCATAATTGATCTGGGGATGATGATATTTCCGATGTTGTTGTGCCATGGATCAGCCAAGTGAGTTGCCAAGTTCTCCAATGGTCCAGTGCCAGGGTAAGCTGATTGTTGAACACAGAATCCGACGAATGCCAACAATGCAAGACGACCTAAAAAACAAATCAATCACAAAATTGACAAATTAGAAACCCCCCAAATTTTGATTGTTTCAAATAATTACTTGTGACACAAAAAAAAATATATATATATATATATATATATCGAAAATGGAAAAGAATGTAAGGGTTTACCATTCTTGATCTCTTTGACCTTGTATTCCTCGAACTTTTTGGGGTCCTTGGAGTATCCCAAGGGATCGAAAGCACCACCGGGGTACTTCTTCTTCTCGGTGTCCTTCTCCATGCTGCGTTGGTGCTCAACAAAGGCGATGGCTAGGAATTCAATGACCAAGATGGTAGGAAGGGTACCCCATGGAACAGGATTGCCTAAATAAGTTGCTTGTCCACCAGGAATTGCTGCCCATTCTTGAGCCTTTACCCAGTTTCCATACCCCAAGGCCTCTGGTACCAAGATACCAGGCTGCAAATTTTACATATATAAAAACTGAGCAAAATTTTCACCTATAAACAAAAATGTCAAGAAGAAAATTACACATTTCAGAGTTTAAAAAACATTTACAACAGCAAGCATGGCCCATCTGCAGTGAATCAACTCAGATTCCTTGTACCTCTCAAGGTTCTCAGGGACCTCACCAAGCCTTAGTGGGTCAAACCCAAAGTCACTGAAAAACACGACCAAAAAAAAAAAAAACAGCTTTAAATGTAAGAAAGACTTTAAAAAATGGCTATAAATGTTCTTTTTAGCTACTTTGAAACCTCACCCTGGTGCTGAACCATCAAGGTAAGGTGGCCTAGGCTGACCAGGCATCCAGTCAGCTGACATGCTAACACGGCTAACATTGGCACCAGGACAAGAAAATGACACAGCGCCGCCGGTGAACTTGGACTTGGAAGAGGAAAGGACTGAAGGGAATGCGGTGGTGGCTATGCCACAACTCATTAGTGTGTTGGCAGCCATGATTGTAGTTCTTGGAGCTTATGGGAAAGATTTTTGGGGGTAGCTAAGCTAATTGAAAGAAAGGTTTGGAATATGAAGGTCAAGGAAAAGGAGTGGATAAAGGATTGTAGTAGGATTTGGAGGGAATCTAAAAGTGGGTTGTTATTGGCTAAGCGATGGGAACAATTGTTTTGTTATTGGGCCAGGTGGAATTTATCAATCTTATACGGGTGGATGCCATTAGGCTCTTCTTGTTTTTGTTTGTATGGTGGAGGTTTCAGTTGCCAGAGAGAAAAATATCCAGTGGGGTGGGGTCGATTTCTTCTTTTATCCTTTCCATTTTACCTTAAAAGATTAAAAAAATAATAATAATTAAGATCATATTTGAATTTGATACGATTCACATCATCAATTAATTTAAAATATTAATTTTAATAAAATTTATTTGATATAAATTTTTTATTAAATATTTTATTTTAATTATAATTATAATAATTTTTTTAATCATAAATATAATTATTATTATTATTATTTTTAATTTTATTAAAATTAATTTTATCATTCATCTAAATAAAACCTAAAAATAATTGTTACACTAACATGTTTTTGTACTTTGAAACAGAAAAATTTAATCGAATCAAGTTCAGTTGATATTTTCACATGTTAAATTTGGGTTTGAGTTTTATTCCTTCAAATTTGTTTATATAAAAAATATAATTAAAATATTTTATTTTAATATTTTAAAATAAAAATTAAATAAAAATATTTTATTAACAAAATAATATCTCAAATTATACATGTTCAAAACCTGACCAGTAATTGGCTCAGTCCATGGATCAGTACACTTCCAAAAAAAAAAAACATTTAAAGATTGAAAAAAAAAAAAAAACTAAGCATAGGCACAGCCCATGAACGAAGAATCAACCCAAAACTCTTACTTGATCTCAAGGTTTTGTGATTTTTTTACCAAAAGAACACACCAATAATTTTTTTTAAAAAAAAAGTAATTAGTTTCTCTAGTATTTCAAGACCTAGCTGTGAGCACTATAAGAAAATGATGTATTAATGATAATTTTGTAACGATCGTTCATTTACAAATATCACTAATTTTTATGATTTTATTAAATTTCGGGTATAAGTTATTTTGCTATCTATACCTCAATGGACATTTTTTAAAAAAATTAATTACCCGTTTCCTTTGTTAACAATTTATCTAATAAAAAAATAAAAAATAAAATAATTAAAAAATAAAATAAATAGAAGGCAAAAAATGAAATAGGGTGTCACATGTACACATATGTATAAGTCATTTTTTTTTCAAAAAATTGATCTAGTTAAAAAACAAAAAAAAATTTAAATGTAAAAAGAAAGACAAAAAAAAAAAGCCAAGTTGATATGCAAACGATAATAAGGATGAGATTTTCTTGTAAAATTTATATAATATATTTATATATTTTGTTTTATTTTAATTTAGTTTTTCTTTTTATCTTTTTTACTTTTTTATTTTATATTTAATAAATATTTTTTATAGTTTTAATTTTTTATATGAGATCAATTTGATATTAACAATTAAAAAAATAAAAATAAAATTAAAAATATTAAAAATATTTATTAAATATAAAAAAATATTTATTTTTAATAATAACGAATTGAAATAGGGTTTGATGAATAGATCAAGTGGAGCTAAACTTTGAAAAAAGTTTTATAAATGTTAATCATACCTAACTGGAACCATAGACATTATTAACTTTTTGAACTTTTATATTAGCTTCATTGATCATAATTTACAATCGCATTTGATATGAGATAAAATTTTATAATATATTCAACTAAATTGTTGATATCTTCGGCAAGATTACTCATTTACACACACAATCAAAAGTTAAAAAATTATGAACTCGAAACTTAATTTAATTCATTTATATAATTATTTTTAAAAGATAATATTTAACAGATCTGATATTCAAATTTTAACACATATAATTTTTCTCTCATCCCCAAATTATGTCCTCATTTATAAAAATAAAAAATAAAAAATTAACAAACAACTTATCACACGTAGCTTACATCTGGTTGGAACAAAATTTTTAATTATGCCTAAAACAAAGTTACCTTCAAAAGTTTAAGCTGAAATATATTTTGTATTAGGGGAACATTAGGAATACATGGCCAAATTGGGCTAATATTTATTACGATATATAAAATGAATTGCCCTAATGTTTCATAAAATATCCGCTGTAGCATTTAGCAATTCCTTAAGATCATAGAGACCAGGTTTAAATCCTGGCAACGAAAAATTTTGTTTTTTACACATTTTTTGGGCCATTCTGTGAAGGTTGATTTTTTTAAATCTTGAATTAAGAAAAGATTAAATGCAGTCGTATTCTACACACACACACATTTGTATGTATATATATATATATATATATATATATATATATATATACATACAAATATTTATTTTTTAGCTATTCTAATGTCCAACTCTCTCCATCACCCTGATCCAAAACATTAAAAACCCAAAAATTATATTAAAAAACCCAAAAAGATTTAAAAAAAAAAACTCGTTCTTTTATAGATTGAATTGGATCAGATTTAGTTTGATTTAATTTTTTTAAATAATACATAAAGTAATTAATTTTTAAAATCCAATCAAAACTCGAAAGAACCTCCATATGATCTAATTCGATCCAAACTGAATTTTACAAGTTTAATTCAGTTCATCAATTTTTAAAATAATTTTTTATTTTTATATATTATTTTAATATAATTTTAATATATTTAAATTGATTTAAGTATAAAATAGTTATTTTTTGTTTTATAAAAATTTAAAATATATAAAAGCTAATAAAAATGTATAATTCGGTTTGGTTCCTTTTTTTTCACTTTTCAATCTGAAACCTAATATATATATATATATTTAATATCTGAATTTAATCTAAACTGAATAAGAAAAAAATTGATAAGAACCAAATTTAACATTATGGTTTTGAATAGTTTTCAGTTTTCTTAATTTTTCTTACCCTAATGTTAACACCTTGAATAAAAGTCAAACAAAAATCAAAATGGGCAAAACTTATATAATGGATAGATGAAAGGATTATATTTTAATTATGTATAAATATAATATTTTTATTAAATTAAGATATTAAATAATAACTTTATTAATATAATACATATAAATAAACATAAAATTAAATAAATAATTAAAATATAATTTAATATATATACTTGAAGCAAACGAAATATCCTAAACTTGTCTCGACTCAATCCTGATTTTCAAAAAAATAATAATAATAATCCAATCCTAAATTAAAAAATGCTCCTATTGAATTTTGACGAATCGAAACTCACGAAATATAGTTTATTTTGTTATCCATAACTCTATTGACATTTTAAAAAAAAAATTATTTACCAGTTTCTTTTGTTATAAAATTTATCTAATTAAAAATAAAAGGCAAAAAAATATAAGGTGCCATGTGTACACATTTATTGGTTTTTTAATTGATCTAATTAAAAAAAAAAATTAAGAAAAAAAAGTAAAAAGAAAAGACAAAAAAATAAATAAAAAGAAAAAAAAGTTAAATTGCTACACAACATTAACAATGATAGATCTCTTTGCAAAATTTATATCATGTGTTTATATTTTTTTTATTTTAATTTAGTTCGTCTTTTTACTTTTTTTCCTATTTAAAATTTCTTAAATACTTTTTATATTTTTAATTTTTTATATGAGACCAATTTGATATTATTGATTAAAAATATAAAATAAATTTAAAATAAAAAAATGAAAATGAAAATATTAAAAATATTTATTATATATAAAAATATTTATTTTTAATAATAACAAATCGAAACAAATTTTGATCAACAAATCAAGTGCAGCTAAACTTTGAAAAAAAGTTTTAGAAATGTTAATCAAACCTAACTTGTACCATGAACATTTTTAACTAACTTGAATTTTTATATTAGCTTTCATTGATCAAAATTTATAATGACCTTTTGTATTAGCTTTCATTAATCAAAATTTACAATCGCATTTGATATGAGATAATATTTCATAATATATTCAACTAAATTGTTGATATATTTAGGAAGAGTACTCATAACACACACAATCAAAGGCAGGGATAGATGCAAAATGGGGGCACTGGGGGTAATTGCCACCACTGAGATCTTTATCCCTTCAAAAATATATTATAAAAATATTTAAAATGTTTAATTCCTTTATAATGTCCCCACTAAAAATATATAATATATGCAAAAGTCAAACTTACATTAATTAGAAGTGATAAGTTTGTGAATAAAAAATATTTTTAAGGTTATTATCGAGAAAAAAAAAAAAGCAGAGTTGATTTTAAATAAAATTAATCGGTTTTCCATTTTCCTCCATCTTCCTCTCTTTTGCAACTTTTAGTTTTTCGAACAAAAATAAAAAGAACCGGAGAAGAAAATTAAAGAAGTAAAAAAAAAAAGAAATTCTTTAAACTAAAGAAACAAATTACAAGTTGGTTATATTCTTTTTCCAACAAGATATTCAAGTAAGTTATTTTTTATATATTTTATAATTAATCAATCAATTTTTTTATATATTTTTATACATAGTGTTTATTTACTATTTGAAATTTGTTATACTGATGAAATAATTTGATCATGTATTCATGTTATCGATAACATTTATATTTTTTTATATGTTTGAATTTTTTATGTTTTATATTTTTTTTAGTTATTACTCATTCAGCTAATAACTTTAAGTTTGGTAAAAATTAATTTTTATATAGAGATTATAAAATTAGTTTGAAATTCTATCCAATTTCTTACATAGTAGTATAGTTACAATATGTAAATTGCATTTCTACTCATATATTTCAAATATAGAGTCAGTTGATCTTCATTAACATGCATAATTATATTTTGAATATATATTCTTATTTTTTATAAATTACATAAATTAAACTATTTAATTTAATTAGTTATGTAGAAATATCTTATTAAGAAAAAGTCAATTTTTGGAAAATAATTTGGAATAAATACTAGTAGTATACAACATTGTACAAAGCAAATTCGTGTTGAATTAAATTTAAACTATCTTCCTTTGGATCCTAGGTTACGAAAAAAATTTGGACTATAATGGTAATGATAGAGACAAAGTTCAAAGAGCTTATTTGCAAAAAGGTCTATGTCAACCTTACTAACATAATTTTTTCCAAAGAAAAATTGGAAAGA